TTCGAGGATTTTATGTGATTTTTCGTAAAATTCAAGTGCTTTCGAGTAGTCACCCATCTTGTTATACACTCCACCGATGTTGTTGTAGGAAGTAGCCAATGAGGGATGATCCGGAGGCAGAACTTTTTTCGTGATTTCGAGATCTTTTTCGTAAAATTCAAGTGCTTTCGAGTAGTCCCCCATGTCGTTATACACTCCACCGATGTTGTTGTAGGAAGTAGCCAAATCGGGATGATTCGGAGGCAGAGCTTTTTCGAAGATTTTATGTGCTTTTTCGTAAAATTCAAGTGCTTTCGAGTAGTCACCCATGTTGTTATACACGAGACCGATGTTGTTGTATGAAGTAGCCAAATCGGGATGATTCGGAGGCAGAGCTTTTTTCGTGATTTCGAGATCTTTTTCGTAAAATCCAAGTGCTTTCGAGTAGTCACCCATGTTGTTATACGCAAGACCAATGTTAGTATAGGTAGAAGCCAATGAAGAATGATCTTCCGGAAGACTTTTTCTCTCGATCTTCAGTGATTTTTCATAAAACGCAACTGCTTCTTGATATTGTCCTTTATTGTCTTTTAAAAATCCAAGCATGTGATAGATATGTTGTCTGTCACCATCACTGGAAGCGTTCTTGAGTAATTCATTGTAGAGTTCTTCAGCTTGATTGTAGTGACCCACCTGAAGCATCAGTTTACCCATTCGATACCATCCAGTGCCATCAACTTCCTCTCGTATGCGATTAGTAAGAGCAGCTAATTGTGGATCATTGTCACCGGTGAGAGTCAATTGAACTTCCCACAGACGACTATTGCTAATTGATTGTTTGATATCATCGACGCGAAAAACAGTATGCATTGAATGTAGGATTTCTTTTTCAGTTTCAATAGCACTGTATTCGTCGATAAGTGCAAATGGAGTAGTTGCCGCCGATATTGTGTTTGGATCAATTGTCATGATGAAAAGAACACCCACGATGTCTTTATTTTTCTGCATTGTACGTTCCACAAATTCCATAGCGATCTTTTGTTTTGTACTAGTTGACAAAAAATTATTAAATGAGAGCAGCCCACCTTTCGTGTCCATTAGATGCTGAAAATCTTGTTCAATGAGCCCTTGACCACGATAAACAACAAATTTTTTCGTAAAAGTCTTTGCTTGCTCTTTGTGCAGTTGTTCCAGCTGATGATGAAGGTTTCGAATGAAAAAGCCCATTTTTGTCATGGCTTCCATGTCGAGTGATCGTAGAGCGTAGTTAAGCATGCCATAAAGGAATATTTCACATGTATACCACCAGACTGGCGTTTCCTGGTGGTATTTACTCTGAAAGTCCTTTAATTGTTTCTCCGAAATACCTTTGCTGCGACAGTAAACGACTAGATCGTTCAGCGGCTTTATGTCGTCTTCATTGATTTCCAATATAATCTCTTTGAATAACACCGAGTACATAAATGATGGTTCTAATTGGTCCAGATTTTCTTGACTTGATGCAGCTGCCGTCGTTTGCTTCGGAACGAAGCTCATAGGAATGGTATCATGGTCACATTCACGGGTGACCTTCTTTAACGATTCACATATGGGCTTGATTGAGGTGAAAACACCTTCAATCTTTGCCCATTCTTTTGCCCATGCTTCATGTTTTGTTTTATTACCACAAAAGATATAAATTGCGTCCACTTGTGAAAAATCATGAATCTGCGGTACGAGGTGCTGTCCTAAAGCTCCAGACGAGATAACGAACGCTTTTTCGTTATCCATATCATTCA